AGCGCCAGGCCGGCTGGCACAGGGAACCCTCTAAGCCTGTTCCACCAACTCCAACCAATTCCCCTCTGTCTCGGCTGGCGCTGGAGCATCACAGGCATTAAGGCTGCTATCAATGTGCTCAGCAGCAGGGGCCACTGCCACCACTCTCACGCTCACTCTATCTTTTCTCTTTCTGCCTCCAACCCTCTCTCCCACTCAATTCTGAATCCAATTCAAAAAGGTTTCATTGGCAGGACAAATAATACCTTTGTTCTTCAAAATGTCTCCTTGCCTCCTTTTTTTTTTCCCTCTCGCTATCTCTCTCTGTGCTGTGCACCTTATTTTCCATCTCTATCGCCTGCGAGTGGAATCTCAGCAGAACAAGGTGATGACCATCAGTGTGGGCGGTAAAGTCTGTTGTGGTGCATTACAAGCAGATTAGAAGCGTATTAGAGGTAAAGATCCACTTTTATTCTCAGGGATATAGAAGAGGGTAAACCAACCTAAAGTCAGTCTGACTTAAATCTTGAAAGACTTTTGATAACTTTAAAAATAAATCCTATGCACCGAATAAAATAGATTTTCACCATCACAAATATAACTAGATTAAATATTGTATATTGTGTCTTTGTAACGATGTCAAAAACAAGCTCCTGCAGTTGGGCAGCACTGGTTACGTTTTGGGTAAAATTCAGAATTCAGGACCAAACAAGCAGCAAATTAAAAAGTTAACACAAAACATACTAGGGTATTATTTGACATTGTCTTTTTTCAACTGAGTGCAACTCTCTTCAAACAAGTGAGGACATTTATAGACAAAACACAGAAATACAGAAATCTCTCATGTGAAATCACTGAAACGAAACATTTCTGGTTTGCTTGTCAGCATGTTATAGTACCCCATCTCTTGTACTATGAAAGCTGATTGAAGAAATAGATCTTCAGGGCCTTTAAAATTCTTCCTCGTCATTCAGGCATCTTGTTTTCTCTTACACGACTGACTGCTTGTCCTGAGGCTTGGTTGATATCCTTTCTGTATATTTACAGTAGCAGCTACTTGATGAATCTTCAACATAAATGTGATGACAGTGTGCACAAGCTTATGTCTTGTAATACATTTTTGCACAGACTGAAAACTGAGACGCTAACCTGACTCCTACTCGCAGCTATATATTTTTTTTTATTTTATCCACTAGCGACCATTAGCTCAGCAGACTAATGAAAGACATTGGCTACACTCTTACTGTGAAATCACTCCTTTTTGTTTTTTTACTGTCAGTGAACTATGTTTACTTCCTGCCATTTTATTTGAGTGTCAGAGTGTAAACTTTATGCCCTTTACAATAACCTCTAAAAAAAGACTTGTGTACAGCACTTCCCGCTAACAATCCCACAATGCCACGGGTTGCATTTTATAGATGCAGAAATTACAGTCGTGCAGCTCCACAGCTGTCAGTGAGGATTCCAAAAGGATGATGATTTATAAACGCCTGAAATCTCAATTTACAGCTCACTTTAGAGTTAACTTTCTGTTTCAAACAAAGCTGTGAGTATGGAGCGGGAGAAATTATAAGCACAGCAATTGTTTTTTTTCTCTTCCGTCTGGGCATTGTGTACCTCCATGCAACATGCGATGCATTGATGCAGACAGATTGGCAAAGTCGGCGCGACAAAGAGAACAATGTTTTAACAAATCACGCTTGAAACATACACACCACACACACCATCTCACAGCCAACTGGAAACCTGATTCTCAGAGGGTCACAGGGTTGAGGTCGCTAGCAGGTGTGTAGGGATTATTATTATTATCATTATCCTTATGTCATTCTGACAGAAGCATGTGTGGACATGCAGCTACAAACGGATGCAGATGCTTCTCAGAGCGATGCATTCATGAGCAAATATGCAGTCTGGCAAAATAAAAAAAAATCACGATCTAGTTTATGTGGTGCTGAAAAATGTTTGCAGCCGTCTCTCAGGTGTGTGACAATCCTGCAAAAATTGAATTTGTAACTGGTCTTCATGGGTATTGCTGCTTGTCTGCCGCGTGCTCATTATATCACAGCCTGATCACAACGGTCTCACACCCACACTGTGCCTTTAACATGCTGCTCTGTGAAGCCTTCAGGTAGAGTCAGCGAGCTCCCACAGTACCTGCCTGTGTACAGTACAGCCTGCAGACAGGCCGCAACTCCGCATATCCATTCCCACGCAGAGCCACTCTTCAAATCAACAGAGCTGTGTGTGTGTGTGTACCCTCTCCCATCACCACCCCCACCATGAACACCTACAGAAGTGAACTCACTTCATTACTTCATAAGATCAAACACAGTCTCCCACCTCAGATGCAATAACAAACATGGCCAAAGCACTTGACCGCAATCACTGAACCACAGTCAGAGAAATCCATACAGTAGCCATTGTAATGACCCGGCTGCCAGATGCTTTAGCAACACTTTGTGCATTTATGCACTGGACGTATTGCTGATGTTGTGGGGACCTAAATCTGTTAACACACTGACATTATGGGGACTTGTCTCCCTTATGGGGACAAAATGCAAAACCCCATTGATGTAAGTCCTTCAATTTTAAGATTAGGACTTGTTTTAAGGTCAGGATGGGGTTGGGCAATTAGTATTAATGGTTAAGGTTAGAGTATGTGCGGTTTGTGTGTGTGTGTGTGTGTGTGTTTGTGTGTTGTGTGTGCGTGTGTGAGTGGTATTGAGAGGCAGGAGAAAGCTGCTGGCCCAGATGAAGACAAAGAGCCTGGCAGCCAAACTGAGTAGCAGCGTTCAGACAGGATTACACAACGGCTCTTAAAGACAGCTTTTAATAGCAGGAGTCTGACTGGATGTTGTTTCTCTCCAACTTATCCCATCCATCCATCCAGATACACCCCCCCCCCCATACAGAAACAGGAATGTACAAAGAGGTATGGTTTGCATATATTGTACTGTGTGTGTGTATGTGCGTGTGTGTGTGTGTGTGTGTGTGAGTGATTTGGTACCTCTGCGTCAAATCTCGTTAAAATCGCTGCCAAATGTTACAGTTCAACATGTACATGCATGTCTCTCTCTCTCTTTCTCTCTCTCTCTCACTCTCTTTTATTGTTATTTTGTTGTTGCCGTTGACGGGTGTTACACCGTGATTGAATCAAGTTGTTTTTCAACTTGGAGCCTCTCTTTCTGCCAATCAGCTCCCATTGACACACTGGCCAATCAAAACCTCTGCACAGAGCTGCAATGGGAGCAGACATCTAGCTGGGCATCCCTGGGCAGCACAAACAAGGCCCCGGGAATCAAAGCCCACTTTAAATCCAATTTTTAAAACCCCACCATACCATAAAGATTGGACAGGGGTTGTTGCCGCTCCGCTCAGACCTAAATCAAATGGTGATTTTATTGAGATTAATCTGTGTCCTAATACTGCTCAACTGGGGGCTGGTATGGAGCCAAATGAGATGTCAGGGCAGGGGAGAGCGTTGAATAAACCTTCTGTTTGAGGGAGGAAAGGATGGAGACAAATAGTCTGTGAGAATATGAAAACATAAGGAGAAGCAGATAGATGATCACCTCAACTTCAAAATGCTTATTAATCCCATTGCAACACTTGGGTTGCTACTTTTCATGTATTGCTAATGTGGAGGATTATGTGGGATGTAAAAAAAAGTTGCATAATATCCCCTGTGTCTCTGAAGATTTAAAGTTTAAAAAAAACCTTGATGATGTCAAAGTGATGTCATCAGGGTCATCACTCCCTGGGTTTAAGATTCAAACATTTGTACGGAGCTTGGCCCATACCCATGACTGAAACTGGATATTACACTGCTTTGAATTTGACCATTCTTTCTTAAATGTATCCCTCTTCACGAATTGCTTGACTGACTCTTAAAGTATGTTCCCTGACCGTCTTTAAGATTATTATTATGTTAAACGGCCCGTCTCCTTATAAAGGTCCCAGAAGGAGCAATGCCTGCTGTCAAATTTAACAAGAAGGGTGTAACCGAGGCTACTCCTGTTCTGCTGGACTCAACAATGTGTATCTCTTGTGGAAAGTCTCATTAACTACTTGACTCTCCCACAGCAAACAAAATGAAAGACAAGTGGAAACACAGCAAAGACACGAATGTACTATATGAATGTGTACATTCATGTACAATCCCCCCTCAGCAGCATCTGATTTGGAATATTCACCTCCCTTTGAATGGGTTCAAAAAGGGGGCATATGGAAGAAAGACTTCATCAAACATAAATAGTGTGAGGTGGAGCTACAGTAACGGGCTTGGAAACAAAAGATTTTTAATCCTCATAGAATGAGTGGTAAACTTAAGTAGATTACAACAACCAATCTATTAGATTAACCTCATATTAATTTGAATTTAAGGGATAATCTGTGGTTACATCTGTTTGCTGTGACACCCCATGTCATCATCTCTTGTTATTGTCCTTTTAAGCCCCTCGCCTTGTGCCATGCTTTCGCCAGCCTGTGCGTAATTCAACGTGCGCACAATGGATGGCAGGGGGCGGGGTGGCTCCAAACGCTTTATCCAGAGCACCCAACCGGAGGCGTGGGTGCACGCTCCAGCCGACGAGCTACAAATCGGACCGGAGGCACACTCTGTCCCCGGTGTGACCCGGTAACGCACAGAAACACAGGCTCGAAACCAGACACTTAACGAATGCGTCACAGCGCGTAATAGGTGCTTATCCAAAGGGAACCGTGAGGAGACGGTGTTTTGACTCCGTGTGGCTTATATGTGCACAGGCTGCAATCCCCAAATACGATGAACCCAGTGAACCCTCATCCAACCAGGCTCACCGCCCCTTTCCACACACCGCTCTGTGGAGTGACACGGGGACACGCCACTGACATAAATTGTTGGAACCAAGGGTCAATTATGTGGCTTTCAAATATGCAGAAAAGGAGTTTTTCTGCAGACTCTGGCTGAGGCTAAATATAGTGCAGCTTCTCCACTAAAACCTTGAGCATGTGGTGTGAGAGAATTCTTTCATGTGGCCTACCTTCCATCCGGCTGAACTGTTGCTGTCGCCTTTATCCTTGAAATAAGGAACAAAGCGAACCATCCAGTCATAAATCTGGGACAGGGTGAGTCTCTTCTCCGGGGTGCTCTCGATGGCACGGGTGATGAGGTCGGCGTACGACAGGTTCCCCCACGCGTTCCGCCGGGAGGACTTGGCTTTGCGCAGCTGGCCGGCCACGTCAAGCGCAGCCCCGGACATGCAGGCGGGAGCGGCGACCACCGGGGCCGGGGCGCCGGCTGGATGCTTGATCTCCGCCGGCGCGCCGCCTTTTCTCTCGGCCCGGCACGCGGGCACGTTGTACTGCTCCACTTTGACCGACGCCAGGGCCAGACCCCGGCTCGCCTCCTCTCCCCCGGGGAAATCCTCCGGACACGGCAGCGGCCAGGTGCACGACCGCGACCGACCGTGGGGCTCAAATTCCGAATCGATATCAACCTGATGCGCATCCATGCCGCTGTTCTCCATCATCATCAGCATGTTGAACTGATGTCAAAACCGGGCAAGGTCACTATAACAACAAAATCACTGTTGATGTGTGCCAGTGAGTTCAAAAAGCCCAAAGTGGTCCTTAATTGCGCAAAGAAAAAGAATCAAAATGTGTTGTTTCACACACAGAGGTGATGAACCAGTATGACAGAGCCGGCAGCGGTGTGGGATATTATCATTCTCCTCAGCGCAACAATGTGGTATCACATCAGGACAGATGGAGGTGTATCCGAGGCATCAACAACAGTATCAGTCTCTCTTCCATGTTAATTGCACAACGCCGGCTGTGAGGCTGCATGCAGGAGCAGGAGACGGTCACACATCCATGATGGGAGGCAGACACACTTGGAGAACGTGTGTGCGCTCGCTCCGGCTGCAGCAACAGTTGATCCCGTCTGACGGATGAGGTCCAGGGCAGGTGAAAAGCAAAGCGCTTCAAACTCCCCTCCAATTAATTGACTTCGCAATTTTCTTCCAGCCTCTGGTCCCAGTTTCTGCTGCACGCTGGCTTCAGCTGAAACTCACCGTGAGCGCAATTACTCCCATGGAAACGTGGAGAAGCAGACGCTAATGAATCATTTATACGGTGCCGTGGATTTCCAGACGAGAGAAGGAGCCCCTCGTGGATTTGATGTGGAGCATCCTCCGTGTCTCTTCTGAACGCAGCCAGACGCTTCCCCTGCACACTGGAGCAGATCTTTCTACCTTTTGTCTGCAGCTTTCTGTTCACATGTCACATGGGTATCGCCTCTGCGCTCACTGCTCTGCCCTCACACTTTCAAGCCGTGTGTCTCTGAAGGCTTCATGCCACTTAACTGGAGCCTGAAATAAAGTGGAATAAGTGCTGCCTCCATATAATTGGACGCCGCCCGGATCAAGTCACTCCCTCCAGAACAGGTTTCCAGAGGAGGAGGAGTGTGTGCGTGTGTGTGCGCGCGCGTCTGAGAGTGTGTGTGTGTGTGTGTGTGTGTGTGTGTGTGTGTGTGTGTGTGAACCCCCAACAATGCAATTTTCCAAGCTGTAGTCATTCATATTGAGACAAAGTCAGCCCCATGCATTCACAGACAGTTTTTCTTCTCCAGTGACCTTCACCATGAGTTTGAAATCAGTTGTGATCAATTTGTTTCCAATGCTTTGTGTGTACTCTTGTTTTGTGGCTAATCAGCAATAGATGGTGCATCAAATCAATTAATACGAGCCTCTTAAAAATATATATCTGAGCATTTGAAATTCTGCTTGACTGTGCCGTGAAGAGCCTGCACTTCTCTTTTGCCAACCCTTACGAAGGTTATACGTGGTGTTTCCATGTGTTTTGGTTTAATGAGGCAGCCTACAGCTTCATCAGATGCAGCCTTGAATTATGGTATTTATAATTTATTCCGACCTTTGGTCAACATTAATGAGTTTTCTAATGTAGTAATCCATAAGCAAGGCATGGATCCATGTGTCCTGAATACTTTCTCCCATGCAGAGCCTCTGACATCCTGGGGTCATGAGTCCTCCACATTTACCCCGTCACCACATGGAAGTTTTTATTTTTATATTTAATTTATTCAGAGTTATATATTTATACTTTTTTCTAATGTGCAAATGCTGTTTCAAAGCCTTCTCCACACTCATAGGAATGATATGCTTTAATTAGTTTGACATTTTGTTGGCCTAAAAGCATCACAAGTGTTTGAAAAGTGTAAAAAATAAACATTTCTACTGACAAGAACATCAATACTGAATAAAACCCTGAGGTGTGATCACTGATGTTTTGTCGCTTCTTTAATATTTACATTTATTTTAAGTCCAGTGATTAAAAAATGTTTGTTTTAGACATTATTGGCTCATAAGTATGGGGAGAGACTGTATGTGGCTAAGAGTGGTCAGGGATTCAAAACACTGAGATTAGATGAGAGAGAAATTGTAGGTGATTTTTTTTATAAAAAGCTGAATATCAATTGACCCCTTCACCCTATTTATAAAATCTGTATTAATTAAAAAAGAAAAAATATAATTTGAGAACATGTCCTCAACATCATCAAATGTTCCTCTTTGATCAAATATGATGGAATCTTAGGCACAAAATGCAGGAGTTAAATCTAAAATGGTCACGTTGTGGTTTGACCAATGACAGATGATCAGCGTTGTAGTTTAGTTCCATGACAATCAAAAAGTACCACCTTCCAGAGCCTGGCCTTTTTTTTAATCCAGGAACTGGAGGGATTTCATAGACACTGGTTTCTCCAATCAGAACCCTAAGTGGTATCTTTCCCTTTACTTTACTTAAGATACTTTCAGACATGCACCCAGATGATTCTCTGGAGTATGTGATAACACAAACGCTCCTGACTTTCTCCACAGTTTCAGTGGCCAGACCCCAGTAAACAACTCTGGAGAATGTCAGCCCATATGAGAACACAACAGGAGAACCTCCGCAGGATTCACCACAAGCAAGTGGGGTTCTAACACACAATGGATGCAAAATTAAAGAAAAAAAAAGATAAGGGTGAAAAAGCACAACCATACAAATAGAAGACAAAGATGTCAAGAGAGATGTTGTTGTGTGAATGTGTCTGAACAGAGAATCTAATGCTGCGTTGTTCATGTGTGAAAGGCCGGATCCAGACTTTTGAAAATGATGTCTGATGTCTGAAAACAGCTTTACTCTGTCCATTTGTTTCATTTGCCGATTTTTGTTTTGTCTTTAAAAAAATCTTAATGATTTGAAGTTCTCTCAACACTTTGAACTAAATTGTGCAAATCAAATGAGACTAATCATTAACTGGTGAGATGATTTTTTTTCTGTCCATGGAGCGCACAGCATTGCTTCCTGAAGATTGAAACTCACAGGGTCAAAGACCCCAACTACCAATTCCCACTCGCTGTCTTTGTCACACCCTGTTTCCTTTGGTGGGTCTGAGTCCATAAAGCCGGGCTCCATCAATAGTCGCTCTTGTGTGCTGTAAGCGCTGGTAGAAACCTCCAACACTGATAGAAGCTGCCACTCTCTGACAGCCGGTTGTCAGTGACAACCATAACCTCAAATGCACCTTAATGGAATGCTTTCATGAGGGCTAAATGGGCCAATCAACACGAAGGCGGCGGACGCTGAGCGTTCAGAGTGTGCATGTGTGACAGAGTGAGAGCGACGAGAGGGAAGAAGAAGAAATGGGGAGAGACTCTGTAAATGGGAACAAACAGTGGGAAAATTCAAAACACATGGCTCTGCGGCTTGGAGGGGAGATTTTTATGTGCCGCAGAGAAGTTGTAACAGGAATGTGGTGTGACTCCTATCATATGGAATGAAAACACTGAAGCCGTGCCAGCAGGGTGGATGTAGGGTGTTCGCAGAGCGCCCTGCGGCTTACAGCAAAGTCCTCATCATCGCGACGAGGTGATGTGACGCCGCAGCACAAACATGAAAAACATGAGTCACACGGTTGGACACGGCATGAGGTAGACGGAGCATTATGTGGTTTCACACAGGGGGGGATGTGAGTGGGGTGCGGGGTGTGTTTGTCAAAGATGTTGTGGCCATTTGTGCAAAAAAAAAAAAAAATGAAATATGAAGTGACTACAAGAAGAGCCTGAACGCTCAGCTCGTCCAACATGTTTTAACAGCAGCGTTTCATTTCTAGCCAAGCCATGATTTGTCAGATTAAGTGCTTCAGCCAACTGGATTTGTGCTGAGATTCATGTTTATCCATTGTCCCTTTATTTTCCCAGCATCTAGTATTAATGATATGCATATTGACTGTTGCTGCCACCTCCATCAAGATGCCTCTTTCCTGTTGTGCTCGACTTCCGCTGATGCCCAGTGAAGAGCAAATAACCCAACACAGCAAAAAAAACCAATCTGTTTACACATGCTTTATGATGGAATAAACATGTTTGCCATCCAACCAACAGTCAGGCAGGAGGATGGATATGAAGAGCATTTGTAGATCTAGTGCAAACATTACGCAGGACCAGGAAATGTTAGCTTAGCATTGTTCAAAGACTAAAATTAGGAGGAATCTGTTAGCGCATATAAAATAAAAATGCCAGCTCTAAAGGCGTCTTCACTTGACAAGAACAACAGCATCCATTGTTGACAACAATCTAAGTTTATGTTCACGGGATGAGGGACGTCTTGTGGTCGCACACATAATGACTGACTATGGCATAGCGTGACATGGTGCCATAACCTCACTTAAGGAGGCAGTTGAGGTGCATGAACCAACAGCATCTAGACTAAGGCTTCTTGTGACAGAGGTCATTTCTCAACGTTAACCAATTATAGCTTCAGATCCACAAATGGAACCATCCATAAAGCTGCACCAATCAATATTCTTTATATTAGCAATAGGTCACATGACTGTGTGCAATGTAACAGGGGTCACACAAAACGAAGAACCCACAGAGAATTATCCCCCAACGTGCTATATGTCTTAACTCAGCTGGTTATTCCCAGATCACCGATGGCGACCAGCGTTCAAAGTTGACATCTCCCTTAGCGTCCTCTAAGTGAATGGCTCTTCTTTTTCATCCTGAGATATTTGTTGTGGTATTTTTTTAGTTTCCCGTCCGTCACATGTTTGAAACCTCAACATGCCTTTTCCTGCTAGTCATTTGCCGTCTCACATACATGCCCCTGTCGGTAATTCCCGGAGAATATCCAGAGTTCTGTGCGTGTCTGAAAGCAGCATTAGAGTGACCGGGCCTTCGCCTTCAGAGCCGAAAAGCTTGAGCTTGAAAAATTAAAATGGAAGGTTTTCATGAACGTCTGACATATGTTTTATTTTTGTCTCTTGTACCTTAATTACATTCTGCATCCTCCCATTTTCTTTCTGTTAAGCACTGTAACTGTTCAGAAAATAGTCATATAAATACATGTTATTACAAGTTTATTATAATCAGCTCTTTCAGCTTCCTTCAGCTCATCCCTTGCTCCAGCTCAGGGCTCACAACATTAGTGCTTTGGTTCAGTCACATCACTCTCATGAACCTTATTTCTAGCTGTT